TGGAATAGGGCCCCCAGGTCGCGTCACTGCAACCTGAAGGCCCTATGGCATTTTTACTTGGGCCTGCATCAGAAAAACGCCAGCTTTAGATTATTTTTATATTTTTTATTTTATTTACTGCTGCTGTTTTTCTAACGTGTGTGCTGTTGTCCGTTTTGTGGACAGATACACGTTTTAGGGCCAGGGCCAGATTCAGGCCCAGAGGCTGAGCCTCTAAAAACGTTTGGACCTTTTTTTGTTTTCGGACAGATTTTGGACCATTCGGACCTGGACCGACGTTCAGGCCCGAWGCATYYSCACAGGCCCTGAATCGGACCAGGTACCGAACAGGCCCAGTCCTGGGCAGGGCCTGGACGTCCGGTAGGGACCCAGGCAGGCCGTTTTAGGCCAAGGACTGAACCAAGTCCGAAGCCTGCGATCTGGACCGTGGATCGGATTTTGATCTGCACGGTCCAGAAAGAAGGCTGTGGACTCACTGGGTCCGGCCCAGCGCTACTTAAGCTGGGCCAGCGCCCAGTTCTGGACAGAGAAGGTACCAGGAGAAACCCAGCGTTACGCTGGTTCAGGATTCAGCCTGCTGCGCTATTTTTGAGACTACCTGCTGCGCTATTTTGAGACCACCGGCTGCGCTGTTCTTCGGCGAGGTGACACAGCGCTGGAGGTCCAGCGCCGACCGAGAGAGAGAGAGAGAGAGAGAGAGAGAGAGAGAGAGAGAGAGAGAGAGAGAGAGAGAGAGAGAGAGAGAGAGAGAATAGGGACTTACCTGTCGCGACTTACCAGTGCCATAGCTGGGTTCCGCAGTACTTGCAGTCAAGCATCCAGGTAAGCAGGATCAGAAAGCGCCTAGCTTTCTTCTTCTTACACTTCTTCTTCTCCTCTCCTTCTTCTTCTTCTTCTTCTTCTTCTCTCCTCTTCTTCTTCTTCTTCTTCTTCTCTCTTCTTCTTCTTCTTCTTCTTCTTCTTCTTCTTCTTCTTCTTCTTCTTCTTCTTCTTCATCAGAGTAGAGATAGAGGTAACTGCAGAAATTGTTTGGACACGGCATTCTGCCCTATTGGACTCGACATTCAGATCGGACTTGTGCTCTACACTGGGATTGAACTGTGTGCGACATTCGGAGATCAGACTTGGGTTAGAGTTGGTTACTCCTGTGTCTTCCCCCCTCTCTCTCGCATGTCTATGGTTCTCTCTCTATGTGTGTGCGCGGAAGGGCAATCTTTCTGATGTGCTGCCCTTCCGAAGTTCCTCTCTTTCATGTTTATTTGTCCTCGTGTCCTTTGATTATTAAATCTTCCGCTGCGCTGCTTCCCAGCCYATGATGATAATGATACGAATGTGTTATTGTTGATTTCTCGTTGGTTCACTCTTTGCATTGTGCACATTGGCATCTTGTGAATGTTGCATCTATGCTGCTGGTTGTTGCCACTTTCATCATTGCTAGATCCTAGGCTCTCGGTCCATTTCACTTCCTGATATGCTACACAGACACAGAGAGAGAGAGAGAGAGAGAGAGAGAGAGAGAGAGAGAGAGAGAGAGAGAGAGAGAGAGAGGGAGAGAGAGAGAGAGAGAGAGAAACGCAGCATTGGGAGCCGCAAAAGGCGTGGGGTCTAATTCTGTGTAAAGCGCGTTTAATTCAATACGAGTTTGTAATAAACCATTCAGTTGAGTTCAACCGAGATTTCAGTGCGCGGTGCAGTGTTGCCCTACTGAACCCGAGCGAACCCGACCGAAGGTTCCGGGGGGTTTGGCCGAATGATGGGGACTGGACTGAGGGACATTCGGCAAGAGATTATTTGGGTCTTTTTTTGAACTGTTTTCCAGGGCTTACTACGGTTGTAAAATTTGGTGTTAGGTGGTTTTGTGGTTTTGGTACTGTGGTTGTTCTTTTTTTTTTTTTTTTAAATGAAGATGGCTCTTATATTTTAAAAAAAAACATGGTTGAGGCCGGGGATCTCAAAATTCAACCTGGAGTGACATATGCTGGAAACCAGGTCCAGCGTCCCTAATCGCCACCTTCAAAAGAAAAGAAAAGGAAATCGAACTAGCAAAATGAAATGAAATCCGAGACAGAATGCACTGCCCACGACCGACCAGATCTGCTACTGAAGTCCAAGGAGCAGAGTAATCCCCTCATCTCATCACTGTCCAAAGCACTATGAAGAGCCTGAGAGTAATCCCATCACTGTCCAAAGCACTGTGAAGAGCCTGAGCTGCCAAGGCCGGTTTCCCACCACGCACCCAATTGGCACACCTCAAGTTTGCTCTTCCTTGTTCTCCCTTTCCACCCCACCAGTAGCGTTCCCACTGCCCCTTGTCCCCCTCCCACTGTTCAAGGTGGCACCGTTACTACTAGTTCCGTGAATCTCGACCGCTACTAGTAGTTCCGTGAATCTCGCCCTGAACCACTCTAAGTTAGTTCCCTCATCTAATCATAAACTACTGCAGCAATTTTCTCAGAACAGTTGCAAACATAATAACTAAATTCTTCACCCGCATGTTGTTGATTACCTCAACTCTATCAGGGCAATCTTCTCATCCTTTCTGTACAAAACACTGTGAAGAGCCTGAGCTGCCGAGACGGGTTTCCCACCATGAAACCCAATGGATACACCTCAAGTTTGCTCTTCACCGGTTCTCTCTTTCCGCCCAGCTCAGAGCGTTCCCACTGCACCTTGTCACACTCTCACTATTCAAGGTGGCACCGCTACAAGTAGTTCCACGAGTCTTACCCGGGCTCACTCTAAATTACTTCCCTCTTCTCAGTCGTAAACCCCTACAACGACCCTCTCAGAACACTGAATTAAGCGCAAACCACCCAATACTACTATTTGGAGACCAAAACTGCTACAGTTAGTTTCAAAGTCTCCTAGGGTATGACCAGGTGCAATAAAGCAAACTAAACCATATCAGGGAGGGCAAGCACATGCTACCTCTAGCATTATGCGAAGAGATGGGATTCAAGATCGAACTATAGTCTTACCAACCTGTTTATGAGACTATAGACTAGGATATTAAAATGGAACTATATGAGACTATAGACTAGGATATTAAAATGGAACTATATGAGACTATAGACTAGGATATTAAAATGGAACTAACCTAATTAGAACCACTCTCTTCTACGAAAGAACAGGAGGGGTAAACCTGAAAGCTGCGGCAGAATCTGAAGTCTTAACCTTCTATTACATCCTGGTTACAGAACTGTGAAACTGCCGCTGCTGGTATAAGA